CTCTACTAACAAAAAATAGCACATGCAGTACCTTACATAACTTTCATATACTTGAAGTGTTTCACAACACTGTGGAAAAATAATAAACTTGTCTACCACAAAAATCTTTGTTACGACCCACAGTAGCTCCTTATTGCCTGGAAAAATTTTCTACACAGCAGATACTGATCTGAGAGGAATATTAAAGTGACCTGCAAGCACATACAATCTGTAGAGCAATAATATCTGAATCTATCGTTTCGATACCTGCAGGTAACAGGTTAAACAGATACTTCGATATTTACAATAAAAACAGAAAACAAATTTATTTTAGTAATCGCACTTAAATCCAAGAAATGGACTTTAGATCTGAGCAAAATTTGGGCAGCTAATAGTATGCATATGTATGATAGGATGTGAGCAATTCGCAACTATTATTCAGGGTTCTAATAACTGATTTTATAACTCTTTTAGGACTCCAAAGCTTAGAAACTGGAGTATTTCATTACACATAAACACAGCTGACTCTAAAGACACTGAAATATGAAGTGTGTAAATATTTAGCATTCACAATTCGTCTCATTAAAAACTACAGGCATTAACTAGTTCATATAAAATGAAACGAAAGCCAGGTATTCAGAAGAAAAAGTGATCATATTTGATATAACAGAATTATACATCAAAATACTGATTAATGAGTGTCTGAAAGCAATCAAAAATCGAACGAACATTGATCCTGAACTAGTAGAATTCTATTCTAGTAAATAATGATAGGTGTTTAATTGAACGAACTTCTTCTGTATGCAAATTTCAGAATTTAGCAAGTAAATTGCTATTGCTTCTGCAGTCTGAAGAAGTTTGATTCGTGCAGAAGCGATGACAATTCACTTGCTAAGTCCTGAACTCTACATACAGAAGAAGTTCATTCAATCAATACACTTGCAATGGAGGTAATCTATCTTAATACCCGACAGATGTTTAATTATTTCTGACTTTTAGTTTTTAAATTTGAAGTCAACATGCTTGAACAGACAAAAGTGATGTTGACTGGACCATCAAAATTCAGAGTATTGACAGACATATTTATGGGATAGTTAGAGACGTACACCTCGTATGATATTTGGTGTAAATGGAGTGACTCATTTACTATGCTGAAATCTGAACATGTACATAATTTCTTAACATAAGCAAGTTCCATACCAAATGCTATTTAAATACAGTATCAAATCCCACTTGAATTACCACTTACCAGCTAATGAAAGAATCCTTTCTCTTTCCTGAAGTATTTCTTCCTCGGTGAGTTGAGACAAGCGTTCCAAGTTCTCTTGATGTATTCTTTCAACTTCATTAGACCTAGTTCCCAACCCACTGCCTGTTATTGTTTGTGGAGACGTTTTCCTCAAATATTCTAAACATTTTGCTTTGGAAAGAATTAGAGAAAAGTGTCTTACAGTGATTAGGGGCAAAACTGCTAGAAGCAGAACTACGTGAATGATCGTAAGTAGACCTGGTAAATCCAGCGCGCTCCATTTCCCTCGCAAAAATGCTCTTCGGATTTGCAGACGAGCAGCTCATCATGGTAGCCGGCTTATCATCTCCTTTAGGCAGTGTACTGCCTGACTTTTCAGCATTTCGAATAACTGGACGTTCCTAATGCACCGATCGGTTTACAAACTAAAATAAACTTACGATGATGGTGGGAAGGAAACAGGGATCTCTGGTTTCATTTTCTAGGTGTCCTGTTACCTCGAGGTTACTTAACTTACCATACAGTGATGTGTCAAGATTAGACCTTTGGTGTTTTTTACCTCCACTACTGGAGACAAATGCGTTAGTGGTTTTTTCAGAACGCTGATTACAAAGAAACTTTGCTTGTTCACTGAAAAAGATCCGAAATTAAAACCACACAACATACAGCAGGAGCTGCTCATCTGTTGCTGCTTTTTTACCTAACATGCTGAAAAGTACCGTTCCCCTCACTTTTTGCGCTGATTCAAACTTTTTCCAATGGATTTTACCAACATATTTCTTAAGAAATATGAAGTTTCTAGGTATCTATCATCCGATAAGTTTACATGAAATGCATGCCATTTTCACAGCCACAATCAATTATGTTGCGAATTACAATTATGAATTAGCATGGGTGAGGATATGTTCTATGACGTGTTAATTTTTTCCGCGCCTCAGGTTTTCTCGTCTTTCATTGGCTGGAACAGTGGTGGCTAATTTGATATTTAATTTGTCCTTGTTAGGTGATGTCGTTGCAGGTTTGTGTGCTTGAGGTATGCGTTGTTTACAAGCATATTTGATGAAAATAAATGTAAAATTTGATTATTCTAGCGTTTTCATTTACTTATTTGTGCATGTACAAGGCTTGGCTTATCATACACTCGGTTTGTTGGCCTATCGGTTGCTGGCGATGTCAAGGAACCCGTGAGTTCTTTGGCTTCTCTCGATTTTAGGTTATACGTGTAGCATTTTATCGGTGGATATTGCTCAGTGATGTATTTCAATGTTGCTTTTTCTACGGAATTATATTGAAACAGTCGTGAGACAGATGGATACTAATTGACAAAGCCTTTTTAGTTTATTGCAGGTAGCCAATGCGAGTGAGAGCATTATTTATCCTGTAATATTGTGTGCATAATTCTATTTTTGTTTACTCTTCCACCTTTTGTAGTTAATAATGTGCTGCATAAGTGTCAACGATGGACATGGTCTCGCAACTCGTGCGCATCTGAAAGCGGGAGAAGTAATCGCACAAATAGACCATTTTCTTAATATGTAAACAAACTAATGTTGTATTATAATAAATATGAACTTTTCATGTAAATGTTGTTGTCTTTCAATTCATGTATTCGCTTCGTGAGCACGGCATGCTAGACCGGTGCTCCCTAGGACTTGAACTCGTTACTATACTTAAGTGTAATTCTGTAGGAACACTATCGACCGATATGCGTGGTGAATTATAAGTAGTTTAGTGGCCCTTAAGTCTCTGTCTACAGTTACGTGAAAACGTCTCATAGTCATACGCAAGTCTGTAGGGAACAATGACAACAATAGGTAGAACTTAGGCACTGCATTGCAGTTCCAGTTCGTATACGGTTAGGTGTATTCCACATCAGTGTATTACTAATATTTAAATTAAAGCGTTATGGCAGTCCCTATGATAACGGGTGTTAACGTATACTGTAAAATTAAGTTTACACATAACGAATAAATAAGTAGGTTGAGCTGTAGCAGTCGTAGTAACATTCCGCTTACGTTTAATTATGCAGTCAAATAAATCATCAAGTATCATTGATAAGTCTGACATCTGCATCTTTTCATGCAAAAAAACTTAGTTTCACTCAGATAGAATAAGAAAAGTATTGTAAGCAGGATGTTAAATCTATTTAATGAAAAAAAAGCAAATGTCTTCACACAATTGTTTTTCGTAATTATTTCGCCCATGTTGAATTGCTGTGACCAAGTTGACTGACATTACCGGATATCTGTAAATAAGTGAACAAAGTGTATGTTTTTAAATCGCTGAAGTAAGGAAGAAGTAATGTTAAAGTTAAACGCTTTAAATTTCCATACCTTTGCTGAAAAAGGTTCATTTTCCTCTTTCATTCTTTGGTGATGACAGCATTCTTCTGTATTCTTTAATGTTACACAGAGATTGTTCGTCTAATACAGTATAGCAGCAAGCAAATAATAAGTGTTAACTAGTACACCATTCACAATGAACACTGTACAGAAAACTTCATCACATCTTCATTTTAACCAACTTTTCCTTCACGCACAGAAGCATGCAGTCACTACATACACTCAAGCATTGTAACCTGAACATCACAAAATCCCTATAGATAACTTCTTTCATAATAAATGATTTAAACATATGAGCCATAAGTGCATCTTCCATATCCTTCATAGCCAGAAGTAATTCATTAAGGATCTCAGAATATCTTATTGATCTGAACACGAACGATTGTTAAGACTGGGATAACTTATGTAACAGGTGCAGTAGTTGTAGGACACACCTGCTAGCTACTAATCGACAGAAAATTGATACTAATTTTAAGTAGTCTGACATTTCAGGAGGACCATCTGCAGTATTCTTCGTAACCCCATGCACACTGATATACACATAATCTGATGCCATTTTTGACAGTGAACAATTAAAGCCTTCTGACATTCCAAGTGCAAATGTCAATTAAACTAGTATCATGTCTTCGCCTAAGCAATTTTAAATGGGAACTTCATCAAAGTAGATATAATCACCAGGAAATGCAGCAGCCTGTCTCATTCATTGCATGATCTCTTCCATGTGCTATGGAATATTTCAGTCATCACAGATGATAAAAGAAGTGTCTGACATCCTCAAAACACACATCAAACTTATGTCTCTAGGCTATTTCTCTTTCAAATACACGATTCTCATAGAATAACTGGGATGACCACAGCCATTGCCTGCAGTCAATTTACAACCTTAAGATCTGAAACAACTCACAAAAAACAATGCCTAAATGCTCTAAAATCCTAATAATGGACTTTTTATGCGATATTTCTTCAAAATGATGACTTTTTTATTAGTAATTCGTCTAGGCTGTCATGACAATTTTACGCATTACTACGAACACAATACACAAAAATATTGCATTTTTCGGCTACAGAAGCCTAAAACTAGTCAAATAGAATCTATTTTCACAATACTGAGCGGTTAGAACGTCTCTATAGGCGTGAACGCGATAACCCATGCAATGCGCGAAGACACCTTATCATAGAACATAGCCTCACTCATTAGCATACATTATCACTTTTTAAAAAGTTCAAATTGTTGTATTATAGTACAAGCAATCGGAACAGATTCTTATAATTGTTAATTTGTAAATCTTTCACGAAGGTCTCCATCGAAGTTGAGCGACAACCCATACTTCGTTCCATTTCCTGATGATAGTAATGGCCTATCGATAAACAACATATATTTGAGTGTGTACTGTGACCCCACGTGCTTGAAAGCTCTTTCAGGAAGAGGAGAAAATCCTGCACAGCTACAAAGTGGTATAAAATGCAATCATGAATAATACATTATTGGAAGTATATTTACAAGAAAAATACAAGAATAAGCTATACAGTACTTGATATGACAGTGCACATTTGCAATGTATGATGCTAACAATATTGGTCTTACCATGGAAAACTATGACGTTTTCTATGAAAATAAAGTTATTCTCAAACATGATTGTTGTTATTTTTTTATCATCAGAGCAACCGAACTTTATGCGAGAGAAGAGTGTAAACGAGAAAAAAGAAAAAAATGTAAATTTCAGCTCTATTAAAGTTCTAGGAAGTTGAGATAAAATAGAGTACATGTTCTATATATAGCTAATCTTGCTTCTTGGGTGTAGAAGTTGCGCAGCACAAAGCCAATAAGTCGTCTACAGTCGGATACGACCTTATTTGCATCATCGGAAAAGGTTAGATCTGAGTATGTTATCCCGAGATCTGTGACAGTGTAGTACCCCTATACCAACTATAAACATACGATTTTAATCTAATTTGCATACTCATATTATATGTTTACACATACCGATTTTATATGTACTTCGTAAACATTTGCCAATTTACTGTTGAACGTTACCTTGATACTTTTTCGAAATTTGACTACGGCTATAATACACGATTACACTCTTCACAAGTGCCTTCTGATTTTACGTTGTGGGCGTCGAGTAGCCACAACGTCTGCGCACATTGATAAACGTGAAGAAGTACTAGGAAATACGTGTACGCTCATTTAGTCAAATAGAACACGCAATAAATTGGTGAGCCCCGACGATAACTTGCTGATCCCGACGACAAATTGCTGACTCCGACGACGACTTTTGACCTCGACGCGTTGTTACACTTACTGGATTATTAAAACTCTAACTTTCGCGGATTTATATATTTATTAAACAATTCGAACTCATTTTTGTGTTTGCTCATAGCACAACCTGCAGTAATTTGTGGTAAGCACCTGCATTGCATTTTTTCTGTTTTGCCATATTCTTATTGTGCACAAATTTTGCCATTTTCCTACTCTTAAACCATTTTTTTACGAATTGTAACATGTCTTCCAATACCTCTGATAACTTAGAGCTGGGATCTGTTAGTACTATCTCTCTTACTGTACCAGTTTTTAAGCCCAGAGACCCTCATCTTTGGTTTGCACGACTGGAACATTATATGGCTAGCAATAAGCTCACGTCACAGACAGCTAAATTTGGCATTTTGAGTACAGTACTACCAGACGAAGTCGCCGAGCAGGTACGGCAATACATCGTTCAACCCAGCACGGAAGCACCTTACGACAAGTTGAAGGAAGAGGTACTGCGATGCACTTCGCTTTCAGATAGGCAAGCACTCGATCGCCTGTTAAGCAATGTTGAGTTAGGGGATAAAACCCCATCGCAACTCATGAGGCATATGCAAAGCCTAGTTGCCGGAAGAGAAATCGACAAACGTCTCTTTTATCAAATCTGGCTGCGACGACTTCCCGCAAACATCCAGCAGGTTCTTGCTTTCGGAGATGACGACATTGACATAGAAAGGCTCACCGAAATCGCGGATCGCATGTACGAGAGGTCAACACCTCAATCTGTCGCTTCCACCAGCAGAATACCAGACACTCACGATAGAATACAGACTCTAGAACACAAAGTCGACACCTTACTGAGTCAGTTAGCAAAACTGACTACACGCACACAACCAAGCCGTTCTAGAAGCTCGTCTCGTCGACGTCTTTCTCGATCCCCTAGCACGTCACTACATCGCGATAATATTTGCTGGTATCACCGTAGTTATGGAAGCAAAGCACGACGGTGCCGTTCACCTTGCAATTTTCAGACTAAACCAAAAGATATATCGTCATGTGTAAAAAATACTGTTGGCAACCTACGATCTAACAGTCGTTTGTTTTATGTAACAGATAAAAATACCGGTACTACAT